TAACAGAAAGTGATTTTCGTTAATTATAACTGACAAATCGACCATATTTTTCTTTGTCTCTCATGTTTGCAAACTGTTTTTGTAATTCCGTGATGAGAGACAAAGGAACATGAGAATCGTTGCGAATTCAAAATATTTTGATGATAGAAATAAAAAAAGAGAATGATAAAAATTAAGAAAGAGTACTATGTCTAATAATATAATTATGATTTCAAATTTTTTCTTTATTCTTTTCGTAAGAATTGTAAATGTAATGCAAGTGGACCTAAGTGCTTGTAAAATACATGAGAGATAAAAGAGACAGTGAAGAATGTATATAAGTTGAATGTAAAATGTTGAGAGAGAACGTTTAAATTTTGTAATAAAACTAAAATTATTTAAATAAATTTCTAACTATGTCTTGACTGCACTTCGAAGACGTAAATCATTTCATGGTAGCAACCGATATTTGTTCCTAGAAGTATATGTTGTAGTGAACGGACAAAAACTTGTATGATATGAAGAATTAATCATTCTTCTAACGGAAGAATTAATTATATGTATTATTACTATAATTATATTCTCACCTTATATTCTCACATAAATTCCGAATGTCTAAACTACAGTTAGTATTCGACATCTATAAACTTGCGAGCAGAAATAAGACTGAAGAATTTCTATGAAACTAACGTTCTGAAACCACGCGAAGAAACAAGAAGACTGTATCGGGACAATAGTTTTCGTACACAATAGACTCGGACGTTGAGAATCTTCGATGATTGGTAGGGATGGAAGATAGCAAATGAAAAGTGTTCCACATTAGAAAAACAAAATGAAAAAAATAACATATTAGGTGTTGGAATTAATTCGTAGCGTTTTTAATGAAAGAATGTTATTTATTTCACATGAGCATTAAAAAATACATTAATGAAAGTACTTCCCATCACTTGTAAAACGCTACGAATTAATTCCAACACCTAATATAAAAAGAAAAAATGAAAAGATCATTTCTCAAATATTTTTCTTTTGTGTGTCTGTATATAAATACTTTCAATATTTTATGAATTCCATTATCAGTACTAATATAATATAGAAAATTTTATAGAAATGTGAAGCATAATAAAAAAGTGGGAGCAGCTTGCTACTTAGCAGCAATAGCATTCATAAAATATTATATACCTCTTCAATATGCCTAATTCTCACAAATTTACCTTTATTAATATCAGTCCTGTTCCCCACCAGCGCTAAGTAAATTCTAATAAATTCAAATTGCAAGATTAGGTGCTGGTTATTAAATGGTCAAGTCTGGAATTAGTTTTTGCTCCAAACAGAAAGCGCATTTAACGTTAAACTGCCCTCTAATGAATAAATACCCGATATATAAATTGGAAAAATACACTAAATTTTATAGATTTTGGAAACTGTCAATTATATCGAAAACATATATTATTAGGTGTTGGAATTAATTCGTAGCGTTTTTTAATGAAAGAATGTTATTTATTTCACATGAGCATTAAAAAATACATTAATGAAAGTACTTCCCATCACTTGTAAAACGCTACGAATTAATTCCAACACCTAATACAATATATATTTTACAAATAGTTATATTATAAAATTAACTATTTCGTTGACTAATTTGGAAATAAATCATAGTAAAATCGAAATTCATGATTCTTTCTAGGAAGTTAAAGCTCAGAATGTTTTCTATGAGATATTTTGCATTGCTAAATTACTAACAGCTAATTATTTTTTTCATTTTTTTTTTGTATTGACATCTTTAAAAGCATTTCCGAAAAACGCACAGTCGTCATTTTTGGGTAAATGCTTTAATAAGGATAACAAAAAAACAACAATGTTAAAAAGAATGTGTGAAATGTGCATTACAATAGATTTCATTTCTGGTCAGTAATCCTTGAAAGATGATAAAAATCAAGTAGTAAAAAGAAAAGAAAAGACAAAGATACCGACAATTTTAATAACACAAATCAGGGTATTCATTGAAACTTGTAAAAAATTCACAGAAAATTCTTAAATTTTCCAGATATTTTTATTCAAAATTCCAGGTAAGAAAATAGAGAATTTTTTAATCTAACTTTGACATAAATTAAAATGTTAACAATGCAAATAAATTATATATTGAAGATTAATGAAAAACAGCAATTCTATGAGATATATTTATCATTTTTTATAATTGTGAAATTCATAGTATCTATAATATAAGAAAGATTTATGTAATTAGTAATATATATCGTTTTTCATTGCCATTCTGTTTTTTTTTGAAACATAAGAATGTACGTAAATACACGCGGATATCATACTTATTGCTGATTGTAATATTTTGTATTATAAAAAAAATTATTAAAGAAACAATGTTTTCAGAAGTAGACAAAATTTAAATAAAAAAATTAAATTACACAAATTTTCGTGAGTCCCGATAAATCACAAAAACCTTCATTTTCAAAGGTAAAAAAGAAATCCCTTGACTTAGATTTTTTAGATCTTTAGATTTTTTTCTCGACCTTTAGATTTTTTCTAGTAAACACACGCATATCAAATATTGTAGATAAAATATTATTTATACTTTATATTTTTACGTAATGTTTTTAAAGCAACATATAAACTTGTCCTGCATATTCTTTTATGTTAATTTTTTAACGTAACATGTATAAATCTACGTATCTATATTTTTCTTATTTTAAAGACACAAATCGAACACAATTCGACTTATAGCCAGAAACTTGTTGTGTAAATCCAGACGATAATAAAAAATAATTAAAATTAATTAATTAATTAATTAAATTTAAGTATTTATATATTCCACATACATCTCTCATGTGTCTTTTTCTACATATTTCATAAATACAACATTTTCTGTACTTTATAGTATTATCATATAAATGTACTGACGCATATTCGTCAAAACGGGAATGTTAACGTCTTTTTTTTCTAGAAAGAGAGAGAGAGAGAGAGAGAGAGAGAGAGAGAGAGAACCTTGCTCCTTTTACAGTTGTACTCTATTATGAGTTTCGCTGCTATATAAAACGAAACAAAGTGCACTTTGATTTCAGAATGGAGGAGAGAAAGGAAGAAAATACCGCAAAAACAAGCGCGACAGAGTAACATATGAATTCCGAAAACCGATGTTGTTTCTCAATTTATATTAGGAATAAATATGCGGACGCGTTAAACCGCAAAACGAGACGAAAAGCCTATCTGCCTTTGCCTGCCTATCCACCTACCGATTGTATACGTTAAGACTTCGTTGGTTTAGGTTTGCGAACCTGAGACAAACAGCAGTATACCATCCCGCTTCTGCCTTCGGGCTCGGTGGGACTTTTTACGAGCGACAAACACGCGGCTCGAAAAGCACCTCGGATTTCGATTTACAAGCGAGCGAACGAGCGGAGCAAGCGAAGGAGAAATAAGAGACGGAGAGAGAGAGAGAGAGAGAGAGAGAGAGAGAGAGAGAGAGAGAGAGAGAGAGAAAGAGAGCATACCTCGCTCGACGGAATCACGCACACGAACGTAACCGCATAAGAAGACACGTACAACACGTGAACCTCCAGGAAGGAAAGGAAGAGATTCGGTAGCCGTGTAGCCTACGACAGTTGCGCGGATATCCATTGAGAAAAGACTCCTCCAGGTCGGAAAAATTCTGTCTCGTCTATTCAATAACAATAATTGTTGCTACCTGCGAAGAAAAATCTCGCTACCGGATCAGGTCTCTCAGCACGTATCTTACCTGCACTCGGAAAACCACAGATCGTTTATTATGCAAAAATGAAAAATAGACGAGGGTGCGAATACCTTTCTACCAATGTAAACCATAATATCGATTTAATTTATTCTCTATTATTCTATTATTCTCCGATTCTTAAAACTAGGAAAAGATACAGAATAAATTATAAACCAAGATTAAAAGTTGATCTACAATGATAGAAACAGGCCCTCTGAGGTGTAATGTTTACAAATTTGCGACGGAGCAAGACAACAGGTTTGTTTTTTATTCCTGCACTGAGAAGCGATCATAATTTTTTATCTTAGGGCGGAAACGTGAAGAGTGAAAAATTTCTCCATTACTTTCAGTGAAAAAGATTTACTTTTTACGTTTCGACCTTAGGGAAAAACGTTACGCATGATTGCTATTCTGCTTTTCTTCTCGCTTTTGTCAAGTCATTTAAACATTTTACACAAAAACTTGCGATATTAGACCCGGTTCTTTTTTACTGATCTTCTTCACTTTATGTTCACATTGGAGAAAAAAAAGAAAGAAAAAGGATGAACCATGCGAGAAATTCAACAAAAAAACAGACCTTTGCTGTCAAAAAATCTGTTGTATGGAATATATTCATTTCATTTTAAGCTTGCTCCTTTTAACTAAATTTCTTGCATAGTTCATTTTTTTTTCCTTTTTTCATGTTAAAGATAAAAAGAGAAAATATGAATTATTCAAAAAGTTTATTTAAAAGAACATTTAAAAGACTTATTGCAACGTTTGTAATATTGTTGAAACGTTGCAGTATTATTGCAATATCATTGGAACGAATTTCTGCTGTGTAGAATATACTCATTTCGCTTAGGGGCAATTTTTTTTAGTTGAACTTGCACAGTTCATCTCTCTTCCTTTTTTCATTACATTGGAGAGAAAAAGAGAAAAGCACTGAACTATGCAAGAAGTTAGCTAAAAAGAAGAAACCTTTCAAGTTGAAAGAGCGAATGCGCGCGTTGGTTGAGCTATAAAAAAACAGATCTAACGCGTATATGAATAGACGTCAATGAACAGACGAAAGAGGCGAAAACGCGTATACGTTTCACGATGGAAAGCAGAGACGCGACGGTTGTAATACGCGTTAAAACGCGAGAAGTTGGCAACGAACACGAGCACAAGCGACGACGGGAGTAAACAGGACGGAGAGCCGTCGTCGGCGACATGCCTAGCCGTTCTCATCTTCCTCGCAGCGCGATACGCAATCACAAAAAAAAAAAACGTTCTCGCGGAGTGCGAGATGAATACTCACCCTGGATACAGCTCCGTCCGCGAGTTTCCTGTCGAGGTCTCTCATTGCAACGGAGCCAACGTAGAACCGTACGCGGTTCGCGCACACGCGAACCCGTCTCAGGTATCGGGAATATCCTAGGCGACCAGGCGTGCGAGAGGGAGAGAAACGGTGTGACGAAGCGAGCGAACGAGAGAGAAAGAGAGAGAGAGAAAGACTCGGGAGAAGGAAGACGGGAAGGAGAAAGAGAGAAAGAGAGACGCCGTGTACACGCAACGGGGCGAGCCCGGAGCGACGGTCGCCGACGGTCGGCCTGCCGTTCCCACTTCACGCTAATCCCGCACGCACACCACTCTGTATAGCGACCGACCCGGGTCGAGGAACGCGCACACCAACACGCGCGTGCTTACAACTTACAACTTCACTTCGCTCAGCTCAGAGCGGACGGTTCACGGCGCGAGCTCCGCGGCCGCGCCGCCGATCTCGTCCGTGTCGCACATGATATCCGGCGTGACGGAGAACTCTCTGTTTACATTCGCGTAGTGTAGCCAGGGACTCACTCCCGTCCGTCCGTCCGTCCGTCCGTGGGAGACAGATCCACCAACGTGATACACACGTATTCCGGATAAAAACACGCGTGTATGTGTGTGTGCGCGCGTGCGTAACACGCACGCGCGTATACGGAGCACAAGACAGCAACGTACGACGTATGCGCGCGATCAATCGCGCCAGTGCCGTCAACCTGACGGCGTCCGCGACGGCGACCGCACAATGCGAAGATGGCGTCGTACACGGGACGGAGGATCGTGCTGAGTGCTCCGTACTCCCTCCTCTTCCTCGCCTGCCCCCTGTTCTCCGCGCGCGCGCGTCAACGGGGCGGCGCGTCCGGATCACTTTGCCGAACCTCCGGGATTCTTCACGCGATCATCTTCACGTCCATCGAGACTCCACGTTTGCGTCTTCCCGCGTTTACGACGTCGCTTCCATGCGCCGCGGTTCGACCAGATCGTCGTGACGCACCGCGTTTCGTAGTCGCGAGTCTTCGCGATCCGCGTTACCGTACACTGTGGTGCACCGTCGAATGCCGTTGGCGTGCCGATCAACGACTGACGTCACGTTGAGACTTGAGACGTCAAGCGTGATGCGTTCTCGGAATCCGCGAACCTGCGCGAACCCACAGTTAGGTGGCGCCGCCGCGCTGCCTTCCGAAACGCGTATCGACCGGGGAATCGCGATCCTATTTTCTGTCGCGAAAGTTTGAAATCTCGGGGCGGGAGAGACATTTCAGCATCTACTTGTTATTTAAAAAAAAAATAACTTCTGAAATTATTCCGCTGTAAGATAAGACGCGTGTCGTATACGAATGAATGATAATTGAATGTAATCGTTATTATTTAATTGAAGTTCCTCAGAGCTGCCTGTTCTATCAATGTAAGATTAATTTTAATTTAATGTTAATAAACAAAAACGATTAATTTAAAAATTAAAAAGATAAGGTAGAGGATTTGGAGTAAAGAGCGAGATTTTTAATAGTAAAATGTCAAACAATAAACAATAATGTAATTCTAAAACATATATCAATAACTCTGATCGAATTATTCTTAATGTTGTTTTTTAGCATTAAAAATCTTGACTCGTATTAAATCGTAGTAAATCTTGACCCTTTATCTTGTTCTTTTAATTAACTTTAATCTTCTTAAATTAATCTATTCTTAAGTTTGATAAAAATCATCATGAATTTATGTTCATGTATTTTTCTAGCGATATAGGTTATTTAATATCGGTTTGCTTTACTTCTTGTCCTTTCTAAATCTTAGAACTAGAGAAAGATAAAAAGTAAGTTAAAAGATTAGTGTAGATGAGTGTAGACTTAATTCTACTAATATGAAATTAACTTTATCTTGATTTATCTTACTGTTTTCTAATTTAACTTACTTTTTTTAAATTTAAATAAGTACATCGAATTAAGATTAAAATTAATCTTACGTTGGTGAAATCGAACTTTGATTTACTTGGTTTACTTACCTTTTATCTTTTTTTAACTCTAAGAATTAAAAAAGAATAAAAAGTAAAATAATTCGAGATTAAAATTAATTGATAATTCAAAATTCGATGTTTCTTCAAGAAAAAATATAAATGCAACATAAGTACTTTTAATAAAGTTAAATAAAACTCGAAATGTATCATCAACTTTATTAAGTATTTATTAACTTTTTATGATAATGAACTTTATGTTTATTTTAAGAGGAAACGAGAGAGAGAGAGAGAGAGAGAGAGAGAGAGAGAAATATAGGAAGATTAAGAAATCAGAGAACTGACAATGCGAGTCTTACGGAGATTAAGAGGAGATTTATGTCTCTTAACGGCCTATTGTTCTTCTTGTCATTGTTACTTATGAGAATATCGATTTTGATACTTTTAACAATATCCAAGAGCAGAGAATAAACAGAACAGATAATGGACACCTGATGCTGACAATAATTAGTGTTTTATTAACGTAAACACAACAGGTTGGACCTCCAAGAAATTTTCCAGAATTCTTCGAATATTTCTCAAAAAGTTTCGGATTTTTCGAACTTTAGAGATGCAATTTAATTTAAATTTGTTTAAAAAAGATATTCCATATTCGCGTTAATAGATAACAAAACAGCTTATAGATATTATCGGATAAGATCGAATAAATCGTCGATCAAATGAAGGCTTTCCTAAACAAGAGCTAATATATTTTTTTTATTTATCTATTTATTACGTTTTTTACGCGAGATTTCATTTTTATTCGATTCGATCGACGTCAGCGATCATTCGCATGCACACATAATGTCGTGATTAAATTTATTACAATTTTTATTAGAATTAGCACAAAGAGAAATCGCGACTGATTCTGAATTTACGTGGAAATCGACGACGATCAGTGACGTGCGCGCTAAGGTTTCGAGAAAAGTGAGTGCCACGGTTGTTTGACGTGATGGTGTCGCTAATCGTTGCGTTGGCCGCAATTGGTCTCCCCGATTACGATTAATTGGAAAGATCGGACACGCGGATTTCAAGAAACCGCCAATCCTGAATGAATGCGCCGATAAGGATCGATAACCTTACCCACCTTTTACACGTCCTCGGAAAGTACGCCGGTCTCGGAATGCGGAAACATCCAGCGGGGCTGTAGGCTAACCAGTTTGACCGACAAGCGTAAACGGATGATCGCTAATGATCACTTCGTGAAAATGGAAAAGCTCCTCTGCTCCACGACGGCGCCATATTTAAAGGGCGACGGGTCGAAGAAGCGCGGATATTTTTTTTTATAATTAATAAGAGAAAGAGAAAGAAAGATAAAGAAAGAGGAAAGAGGAGATCGGTTGTTTTAATTATTTACTTGTTAAATTAATTTCAAATTTACTACGTGAGTATTTAGTTTTATCGCTAGTAATTTTGAACAACAAAAATGTAACAGACACTTTTAGGTTTACTTCCAATATTAATAAGACTTTTTGTCTTTTTTGTTTTTTTTTTAATTTTCTTATCTACTATACATGTCTACTTAGAATAAAATAGATTAGAATTTACACATACTGATATCGTTTCAAGTAATTATCAGTACAACTTATTATTTCTTTACATCTATATAGTGATAATAAATAACTGATTAACGATAACTAAGTCTTTTTAGCATTCGTAGAACTAATCGCCTATATGTAATTGACAATATCTCGCAACAACAATATTTCGCATTATGCTATCTGTATTTTCATCAATGCGTATGCTGTTCTTCTTCTGTAAATTTAATGATAAATATTTAATTCTTGACTTAATTCTAATAAGTCTTTTAATAAGAAATAAAGAGAGAAAAAAAAAGAGATGAAATAAGATGATCTCCAAGAATCCAAATAACATTCCAAGTTTTTTTCAATGCAGTATTTATTATCAGTATATCTCAGTATATCTCAACAACAATATATATCGGTAGTACATTATATCCTTAGCAACAATGTCAGCTTTTTACCTCAGATTATTCAACGACGATTATTTGAGACATAATAACGGACATATACAGAATTCGGTTTACATTTGAATTATAATAAATATACGAAGCTCGTATAAAATAACTGTTCGATCCAGTTAAAATTGGTGTATATCGCTCGAATACAAAATATTTTTCGTGCATGCGGTTTAAGATTTCATGATTAAATGCTGTCTTTACTACTCGAGACGCGATTTAACATTCATTGGAAATGAGACGAAACATTTCGATATTTTTTTCTCCAACTAGATTCTAAATTACTCGCCACAATTGTCTCGAGGAAATAGTCGCGTTAAAAAAAAAAAAATGTAACTGGAGCTTTGGCAAGAGAAAAGGCAGAACGAGTAGTAAAGACTCGGAATTCTCGACGAGTGAATCGATTAGAGAACGATTGACGCATTATTGCTTCTTACAATTGCCTTATAAATTATCAACATTATCCTTTTTATCTTCGAAAAACAAGTATATACATTTACACTAAACTTACGGTATATCCTATACAATATACAAATTCTTTATATATATATAATTATAAAAAATAAACGCGACGATTATAAAATGGATACTATGTGATCCAATTAAATGCGTTTGCTGCTGCTTATCGCTTATACGAATTCTTCGTTAAGCATACACATGTAATAAGTAAAACATACATATATATATTTTTAATATATTTATTTACACATTACATTAAAAATTATATGTAATATGTATATAAATTATATATATATGTATATATACATTCTTTCTTACACGTCAATCCTGAGATCTAAAAATACAATCTAGTTTATTTTTTTCTCATTAATCATGCCGAACATCTGCTATCTCTCACTATTTTACAAGTAAAAAAATATATACGTTACTCTTTTAAACATGTAACTTCCATAAACATAAAAAAAGACAGGAAGAATGAAGAAGAAAAAACTTCCGTCTGATTCGTTCTCCATCATAATTTCGCTATGTATGATACATCAATAGAAATATCGTATTAATTGCGGGCGTAAGAATAATTGTCGCCCGAAAAAGAGATTCGATTAATTATAGTAATAATAAATTCTATCATATTGATCTTCCACCACTCAATCGCAAAACAAAATGGCTGATAAGTGCATTTACTTCTTTGGTTGTATGAGCCCTTAATTTTATATATAATTACTCTGACATACATATACATTTCATATAAGTGATAATAAATACTTAGGAAAAAAGGGGGAGACAAGACATCGATAGAATTTTCAAATTTTTATAATAATTCAAAATGATAGAGTCGCGCGTGAGAACAATTGAACATTTACTACCTCTCTTACGCGAGATCTCTTTGTGCTTTTATAAAAGGCGTAACACTTTATCGTCAAGGCCACAATTACGTCGCTATCTAAAAAAGATTTACAAAGTGGTGTCTATATATGATAGGAGTCTAAATTTTAAAAGTCTACAACTTTGAAACGTTATTGAGAAGAGCAGAAGAATAATAAATTTATAATAATATATTCGCCAGTCTACAATATCACTTTACAGCGTATGAATATACAGCTGTCTCTGTATCATTTCTACGTGATATAAGATATCGAATTCTGAGATTCTTTGTATGTATCGATACTGCTTGCGTCAACAAATAGATAGTGTCTGTAATTTTACACTCTTGTGACGCATTATATTGCGCTATTTTCTACATATGTACTTTCACATATGTTACTATAAGTTATTTATGATTCACACATTATTCACTATTTGTATAAATTAACAATTTGCTTTCGTTAAAAAGTAAAAAAGAGGAAACAAGAAATCTACGATTAAACGCATTTCATAAATGCCGTGAAAATTGCTCTATCCATAAAAAAAAAAACAAATCTTGAGCTTATGAAATCTTAGCTTATATCTCGTATCATCTGAAAAGTGTGAAAAAGCGTCTCGTTGAAAGCGCCTATTACAGATATCTGTTTTTGGATGAGCAGCAGTTCAATGAAATAGAAAATCGAACTTTTTGACGTTTTTTGCGGGGCATACCCCTCTCGGGTAATTTCGATAAATGTCTGCACGGGGTGCCCTCATGGTTCGGTCGAATACTTATTTGGTCGATTGTGAGATTACTCTATAATGAATTTCAATGAAGGTTTACAATTACTTTCGAGAAGGCTGCAGTATATTTACTTAATAATCTCATTAAATATGGAACACGCGCAACAAGGCACATATACTTTCAAAGCTATCACACGTGTTAGGATGAATTACGTTTACTCTGTGATTAGATCAATTAAAAGAAACTATGTTAGCACCAGCCTAATTTTGTTAGGATGAGCAAGTACAATTGTTCTTATATTAAAACCTTCGCAAGCTGCGTAATGATAGCTGCAAGAAAAAAAGTCATCTGTGTGTTCCCTCTCGAATATTTGTTCTCTG